AAGGTTGATAATAGTGAGTTTTTCTGGAAACCTTTTACAAAATTAACAACTAAATAATAAGTAATCATTTAATAAAAAAAGAATCAATTAAGGCCGATTAATTTGAGTGTTTTCGGTGCTTTAATAATTTGCAATTGATTATATTTAATTTAAGTACTGGAATCGGTTATCATCTTCTACAAAATTAAGAATACAATAATAAGGTACAATAATAAAAGGTACAATTTAAAAACCTTTTCCCAAAAACAATTGCAAAGAAAATAAAATATGTTAAATATATATCTTGATAATATTTCCCAGTGCACTAAACGAGGAAGGAAAATGAGCCAATGGTGGGAGGGAAAATAAGAGTGAAAGGGGTTGGAGAAAGGTGACAACTTTTCCACATGGCATAACCAGTAAGGTGGTGAGGAGGTTCTGACGAGGGGGATGAGGGGGATGGGGGATACACTTGGAGCATGGACATGGGCAGGCCAAGCAGTTTGTTTAAACTGCGGTCGGTTGGCAGGATGTATGCTCTTCACATACACATGTATGTATGCATGGGCATTTTCACTTGCGTGTGTGTTCGCACTTTCAATAAGTTCACACACACAGGGACAGTTAAAAAAAAAAAAGAAGAGAAGAAAACACGCCCTGCCTCAACTCAACCTCTGTGCTGGTAATTTGAAAAATTTTCGTGCCTCAGTTCTATTTACGCTTTTATCTCTGTGGCACATTTACCAAACCCTCACCCTCACCCTTCACCCCACACGTCGTCCCTCTCCCTACACACACCTCCTCCGTTTTTTATACAATTTGTATTTCTTCATTTCTATTTGCCGGCTTTATCCGCTTTTTCTTCATTATGCTAGAGTGTGTGCTTCTTTTTTTGTGTGCAAGTGCACCGAGAGAAATTTTATTTAAATGCGAGAATAAGGGTCCTAAGGTTTGGTTATTAGGTTCCTTTTACCTTAAAATACTATTTATCGAGCTTCTATGTGTATTCTATATATTAAATCATAGTCTTATTATAAATATTACTATTTATTTAAAAGGCTGTTATGTTAAGTTCTTCTACAAAGAATATAGCATTCATGGAAGTATTCAATTTTAATTAATTTTAATCAACAATTGCTTGAAACCACATCTATTCTAGAATATAATAATATAGCATATAATTATAATATATAATAATATAATATTTAAAATTAAAAGGACCTTTTTGTATATAAAATCATTTCTTCATGTTTTATTAACAATATTTTCCATTAAATTATAAAAGAATTATAACATTCTTGATAAAGATTCCTTTTTAATAAGCATGCACTGTGTTTTAAATATTTTTAGATTCATACAATATTAATACTTCACCATGAATATAAAATATCAATATTTTTATTAACTTCTTAAGACATATGTAAGCCAGAAAATATTATTTAAATATTCTTAATATAAAAGTTCTCAATCTCTTTAATTCTTGCTATAAATGTATAATTTTCCATTTAAAAATTAAAATAAGCTACCTCCTCATTATTTTTCCCAGTGTTTCTTCGTGTTAACCTTGGGCAGGGCATTAAAACCGTGCCAAGTGTCGAAGCCGGGCCCCCAAAAGTTGGTGAAAAAGGCGATGGGGCAGCCGTAGCAAAAGCCGGACAACTGGACATTTATTGAGGGATCCACCGCCTCCGTGAAACCTACTCGAAACTACCCCCTAACCCACCCACCACCCCCTGCCTTAATTCACCTGAAATGTTAGCTGACTCGTTTAAAATTCGGCAAGGTGTGTCCACGTGTGTGTGTAAGTGTTTTTAGTGTGCCTGAAATCCAAGCTACTGTCCCATTTTTTGTCCCTTCTCCTCCATCCTCCTTCTTACGGTCTAAATGCTGCAGCATCCTTCGGCTCTTCCTTAGCATCTTCCTTTCCCCTCCTCCTTCCTGTTCTTTTCCTCTCTTCTTTCCGGTACATTCTGCCCGCCTTTTCTACCTTGGCTTTTTCGTGTTTATCTCAACTGAACTGTTGCATTTTTTATGCCATTTTATTTCATTTTTATTTTTATGCTCTTGCCAAATGTTTTTTCTGTTCTTTTATATATATATATCTTTTTTGTTATGTTTTTTTCTCCTTCTCGCATTCTTGCACACACACAGACACACATTCAAGTGGCAAGTTTATCATTTTTTGTCCCAGTGGAGAGCCAAATGAGATTCTAAGCAAGTTTTTTAACGATCCGATGGGAATTGTACCTTAATTTTTAGTTTATAGTTGAAAAAGAATTTAATGAAGTTAAGAAACTAGACTAGACTACAAGATCATTTATATTTCTTTTTGTTTAAAATTTAATTATTTAAAATAAAATAGTTAACACAGCGAAATTATAATTACAAAAAATGAATATAATAACAACCGTGATATTATAAAAACATGAAAATAATATATTAAAAACAGTGAAATTAAAATAACAATCAATAAGTTATCATAATTATATATATATTTTTTTTAATAATAATCTGTTTAAAATGCATTTGTTTTAATAAACTTGGTTTTAATTAATCTCATAAACTATTAAAGAAATGGTCATATTTTATCATTGAATTTTGTCTTTAAAACTATTGTATCAAGCATAGTATCAATTAAGTAAATAAAGTTATTTCTGACTAGTTTTCTTTAATAATATCTGAGTTTATGAAGCATTTAAAAGGTACAAAAAGGATAACGGTGAAAAATAGTTCCCTAGAACTTGACCTCTAAATTTCTTTAGGGTATTCCCTATTCGAATAACTATCAATATCCGAAGTGCCACGTTTCTTTGCCTCAGCATCGTTTTTTGTGCTGGCTAATGTCTATTTTCTTGTATTTCGGTTTCTTTTTCTGCATTTCGGCATTTTATGATATCCCCGCCGCGAATTCTGTCGGTCGCCGAGTGCAGGCAGGGCTTTGTTTTCCCTTTTTTTTATATTTTCTGTGGGGATATTTTTCGGTCGCTCCTTCTAGGTTTTTATTTTGGTCCATTTTTGTTTCAGTTTCCCTTATTTTGTGCTTTTGCTGAAGAAAGCAATGTATTTTTAGTGTGTTCTGCTAAACGTCTAAAAATATGCGCCATGTCGGGCACCTGAGTGGCATAAGCCATGGAATGGAGCGGAGTGTCAGGGTCCATTCGGTTCGCTTTTTTATTTATGACCCTCGAAAAAGCGATTCGTGCATTTGGCTTAAATCTGCCCCAGCTCCCCAGGAGGAGGAGGAGGAGGAGGAGGAGGAGGAGGAGGAGCAGCAGGAGCAGGCTGCTCTCCGGTGAAGGTCATCATTGCTGGCGTAGAGCTCTCACCCTCCCCCACCCCCTGCTACCAAATCGATTTTAACGATTATTATTTCTTGGCCCGTTGGTAAGTTACACACTTAGTCACACTCACTCACATCGGACTTGACAACTTTTATGAATATGAAATGCACTCGCACGACTCGCAGAAATACAAAAAAATAAAATGAAATCGAAAGAAATAAACACTTGTGATTGACAAAAGTGTGGCAAGGACATTTAGCGAGCAGCCAGCACTGACGACATTGCCGCATTAACGTTAATTGATGACCAAGACTGACCTGGGCCACGCCCCCTTAACCCTCATCCCCCATCCCTCAACCCCCCCTCTCCTCAGTTAAATCCCACTGCCCAGTGACAGCTCATTAATAAGCGGATTTGGCCCTTTTTGGAGAGCATGTCCTTTGGCCTTCGCTTCGCGGCGTTGACGAGCTAATCTACTGCATAAATCTACAGTTTTGTTAACAATTCCGACAAGAGCTCAGATAGCAAAAAAAAAAAAAGAAACGGAATAAAAAGAAAGGCCAATAAAAGCGGCAAAAGGCAACCAAAACTGCACAGTGACAAAAAGTGTCAACAAAATTTGCTAATCAGTTCTTGACACAGTTACCTCATAACTCTTATCATTATGACATTTCGTTTAGTTTTAATCTTGGTTGTGTATTTTTAGCCTAGGTTGTGCTATTTGCCAATGGATTATTGAACTTGTATGATTTATTATGTGATTATTGATATTGAAAAGATAATCCCAAGTTTCTAGTAGAAAAGAATGTTATCTACTTACAAAAATTGTTTTTTATATATCTTATTTAAGGTTTTTAATAAGGGAATTAAAATTTGGATTAAAATATTTGATTCTACATATATCCTCATTATAATTATGAATTATAAAGGTCTCAAAACTACATATGTATTATAATTAATTAGGTTCAAACCTAATGAATGGTGATAGTAAACCTTTTTTTGGCATATCAAAAGTAGGTTAATTGTATCAGTAAAAACCCATTGATTAACACTTATTGATGGGTTAATCTATAAATTACAGATAAGATATACATAGATATTAGTTCATTTACCCAAAACAAAATGAATAAAAAATCAAAAACAAAATTAATACTACTATTACTAAATAAACGAATACTATTTTATAACAACTAGCTCCTTTTGATAGCTTATCAGTTTGGTGATTTTAAAGATCCAGAAGAATTAAAAAATATTTGTTGCTTATGAAAACCACTAACACAGTGACTTTTAATATTGAAACAATCATATTTGTAATATCGAAAATCAAATTGTTTTAAAACTTCATTATTTTGAAAACATTAAGTTAATTTAATAAACAAAAAGCCCAAATGCTTTGTTAAATTCCTAACTTTCTTTAGGTGTAAGAAAACGCAGAGGTCAGAGGTGAAGCCAAAGGGTCGTGGGAGTGGCAACATCATTGGGGCAGGTCTCAGCACTTAATTAGAATTGTGTCCGAATAGAGTAGAATATCACGCGAGAGTGGGATAATTTATGCCGCCAAAGGAGAAAAATAATACAATGAAAAGAAAAAAATTTGAAATTCTACGGAGACACACGAGTACATATTCTATATACCCATCAAGTTATGCAAATATCGAAAGAATATCCAGAAATCGAATTGAAAATTGTTCGAGTTAATTGTTCCAATTCTTGTTTGATTTCCACTTAGCCACTTCTTACCTTTTTCTTTCTTTGCTGTCGAGAGTGCAAACAATTTGAAATGCAAATAGGCAGAGCTCCCTCGATGATGGACTGTTGCCAAATAGCAAATGTATATATTCTATGTCCGGATATATATACTTGCTTCCGCCACTGGCAGCGAAACACGGCGTTTATTGAAACTTGATATTTATTAGATGGTAGGAAAATCAAGCCAATTAGCGGGATTTTTTGGCGCGGGCACTCTCGAAATCGTAGCGAAGCGAAGGTGTCAGGCTAATCTAACCGGCACGACGGCGCGACGCGAAATTTCACCTGTAACAACAACACCTGCCAAAGGGGAGGGCGAGGGCACTGGACACCGGCGACCGAGTGGCACACTGCTCTGCGGCTATGAACTGTATGAAAATGAAACAATCGCACTTGTTGTGGTCAAGTCGTTCGGAGTTTCGGGCTAAGATGATGAGATGCTATTTCGTTATGGGCCACTATAAGCTACTTCTAACGGCCGACAAATCCGTGTCTCTCTCGACGGAGCGATATGGAAACGCGTCTGTTCGCTGCGACCGGAAAATTGCGACTGCGGCGACTGCCAAACTCTGGCGACTGCCAATCGCCAAAAAGCGAACGCAAAGCTCGAGTGCCGCCGGCTTGATGTTTCGCTCAGTGCTATGCTCTCTTTCTTTCGTATCTCTCTCTCGCTCTCCTCGCCGCTTAGCTTTGTTGTGACGTTGTCGGTGTTATCGTTGCCGCTGCCAAGATGCTGTTGTTGTCATAAGAGAGAAAAGAGAGATGAAGCACTGAAAAAAACGTTACTAGTTTTTAGCTAAACAAAAGTCAGGCTAGCCACTGAAATCGGTTTAATTTGAAAATAAATATTGGAGTTAACAAGAAATAAGCAATACAATTAATTTATTTTTGTTAAGATACCAGTTAAAAAAACTATCCGCTAATTTAAAACATAAAAATTACAATTTAAAAAAGTTTTCACATTTACTTCTTTCATATCTCTAAAAACCTTGATTTGTTTGATTACGTATACGCAATGTTGCCTCAGATGATGTTGCCAGGATTTACATAAGGCCTGGTATAAAAAATTAATAATTTTATTTGCATATTAAAAACTGTATTCATTAAATATACACAACAATATATAGTTCAATATTTACCATATTTTTACTATATACACATATAGTATATAGTTTGCAAAAAGCATAGTCTACTTTTTGGCAATAAGAACATAGAAATTACAAAGAACCTTAAAACTTCATCCATAATAAACTCTAATTTTTGATTTGGATTTAAAAGTATGTATTTACGACAAAGTCTTTATATATACAGTATTATTTTGAGCAATATTAAACTCTAAGAAAATTGCAGTGTACCCGTTATATTTGTTTATTTATTTTTCCTATAACGATAGTGTTACAAAATAATCTGTAACAATATTAATGCGTTTACAGCTGTTGGTTTTGTTTTTAGACCCAGGCAAGAGAGTTTTTTTTTACATGTAGAGAGTAGCATCTCTTATCTCTGCCTCCTAAAATTATAAAAACTGAGAGAGTCCGATTTTCTCTCATTTTGCAAATTTACCGGCTTTACTTGGGCACATGTTGCTTTGGTCTATTGGCAACATGTTGTCTAGCGAAGTTTGGCGCGCTTTTGATTTGAAGTGTGCTCCGCCGCTAATTTGAGTTGTTTTTTCATGGGATTCTCCAATGCCTGGCCCCTTTTAATTGGCGATGGTGATGCCTGATTTATAATTTATACAGTTGATTTTATTTTAGTGTTTGCTCGAGGTCCGCCACCGCTCGCGTTTGCTTATTTATAAAGACATTTGAATTTATGGCCGCTGACTTTTTGCATGAGATCAGAGTGCTTGGCCCAGTTAATTTATGGGCGCAACGGGTGCGTCCCGGCTCGCTCTGAAAAAGTGAAAAACTAAAAGAGTATGTTTCAAATAAGAGAGAACAGCAATAAACCGATTCCGAATATCCATTTCTTGCCCAACACCGGCTGACTTTTCGCTTTGTTTACCTTCCGCGGCTTAGTCAACCCGAGAAATGGTTCAAAATGGTTTCAGACCGAACGACGAACAAATTCTTGACCACATTCAACGCAAACAAATGACGCCATCTGTCTGAACGGCTGCCAGCGCCGCCCATATTTATAAACAATTACGTAGATCGGTGGGCTCTATAGTACGAGGGATTACTCATAGACAAGTCTGATGAAATTTGCATATTGCAGTGTGTCAGAGTTTGCCCTGGGAACATTCTAAAAATGCAGCGAATTTCACTGGGAAAAGAAAAACATTTCTTGTCCACTTTATTCTGGAAAAGCTCTTGAGTTTCGGCAACTTGTTGCTTGCCTGTAACAATAATAAAGCAGCAGCAACATTGTCTATAAGGGAAGCAACATTAAAACAAAATCTACATCATGTTGCTATCAAGAGATGCTAACATAACAAGCAATAACAATACAAGCAGAAGCCGGATTTACATAGCCTCAGATTCCATAACCACTTCAGCAACTTAAACATTAACAACAATAGCTTCATCAACATTAACCACTTCAATAACAGTTATGATAGCAACATCAATAGTAAAGCTACAAAAGCAGCAAGAATGTCAAGAGTCCTCAGCAACAAAGCAACAATAACAACATTTGAAGGTTGTAAGCAAAAGCTACTTAAGCAACAGCAGTTAAAAGAGCAGCATCAACAGTAGCAACATATGTTTACAATAATAACAGTAGCCATAACAGTGGAAACCAGCTTTACCAGCAACATCAATAACATTGACAGCCATAGCAGTGGGAGAAACAAAAGTTTCAGCAACATGAACAAACAATAGGAAGAACAACAAGCTTTGAAATTAAAATAGTAACTAAACTAAACTAAACTTCTAGCAACTTTTGTCATAAGCAAAATATTGCCTTTAAGAAAAATATATTTAAAATATTACTCATGGGTTTTTTGATGAATTTAAATCCATTAATAGATTTTTTATTGAGTGAATGTTTGCGAAATGAAAGCTATTAAAACAATAAACCTGTGCCAAAAAATAAAGCTATGTTTTATGAACAAAATATTTTGGGACTGAAAAGAAAAAACAACTACAGTTACTAAATAAGTACAATAAAATTCCAAACAGCTTACACAAAGATCTTAATTTGAAGGATTTACCTAAAAAAACACTTTACAGTTTCTTTGTAATTAATAAAATACAAAAGAAATTGTTAAGTGAAATACAAATGAGGCAATTTTAAGGGAAGAACTTAACTGTATTTTTAGGTAAAGCTAGAAAATTGTACCACTTCCGTCCCCAAGCCAAAAAGCAGCATCAGCAACTCAGTATTTCCAAACAAAAAAGCAACAATTTCAAACAAAAAGTAACACCCTCCCTTCAAGTGCAACCTTAGAAAACAACAATGTGGGCAATGTGAGCAATATTTGCATACATTGTATTTAAGAAAAAACAACAACAAATACTATGGAAATTTCGGGGCAACTCTCACAGTAAAGTGCCCCCAATTGACGCTTATTAATCCGCTGCACTTTGCAAGCTGATATAAACAAAAAAAAAAACGGAATGTTTACACATCGCACAGCAAATCGAGCGCACACTCAAGGAAATGTGTGTTGTGCGGACAAATTGTAAACAATGGAAGAAATATATTCGTAATTAGTGAAATTATGAAAAGCGCGGAACGCGTGGAGAAAAATGGATCATAATTTTGCGTTTTAGGAATAGTTTTCGATTCGAAATAGATTAATTTATGATACGCGAAAGAGTTACCCTGCCATTGTGCCACACAGGGCGATCTCCATTCTCCTCTCCGTGGAGCCTAAAAATAAAGATGACATCCAAATGGAAATAGAATCAACTAGGCCTGTGTGTGTGGGTGGGTGTGGCTGTGGGTGGGTGGGTTGTTGTGTGTGCCACCATCTGCTCTGGACATTGGCATTGAGTGGGTGGCGCCTCGCTGGCAACATGTGCGGCAGCTGGCCCAAAAATCCGTGCATAAACATCGCCGTTCGTGTAATGTTACGATTATACATACACCCCACAAAAAAAAAATAGTGCAAAAATGCCCCTAATTTTATTAGCACAAAACATATAAGTCTGTGTGAATTATTATTATTATATTTTGAATTATGAAATCCTAAAAGAAAACTGTGACAAGGTTAAATGGTTTATAGTTAGAGATCTATTTATTCTTATATAGTTATAAAGATTTAAAAATAAAAAAGACAAAGGAAAGTCACATTTTCTTTATATTTATAATTTGACAATATAAAGTTTTTGCATTTTTACTTAGAATATTAAATTAAAAAAAGCCTATTTTGATACTAAAGTTTTAAATTCATTTTAACTCAGATGAATTTTTGAGAGATAAGAAAGAAATGTACTATCTCTATATAATACCATGTATAGAACTAACAAATAAATATAAATTTTATTAAAAAAACTCCAATTTCTTTTAGATTAGAATATTTATTTTGATACTAAAGTTTTAAATTCATTTTAATTCAAATGAATTTTCGAGACATTAGAAATATATGTAATATCTCTATATAATCACATGTACAAAACTAACAAATAAATGCAATATTTATTCAATAAACTCCCATTTCTCTTTGTGTAATAGTAATTAAAATCAGGCGATTTTTAATCACCAAATAGTTACAATAAAAAAAGTTCGAAATGGGAATAGAAACTATTTGTCCAAATGTTTCGCCGGCTATTAACACCCGGAAAATTCAAATAAAAGTTGGAGCTCGGGGAACTTGGACCAGAATCGGAGGAAGGGAATGGCACTGGGGGAAGGTCACAAGCAATGATTTATTCGATAGCTCAACTCTTCGGGGCCATCAAAGGGCAGACCCATTAATTCCATTCCATTCGCCAGCGTCCCTCCATCGGCACTCTGCACTTGACTCCGGCGATCGTGTGTTTGCGCAACTCTGGCAGCCGTATCTAATATTATGCCCCTAATTCTTGTAATTTATGGCAATTTAAAGATTTGTTCAGGCCTCCTAAGCAAACACATGAACTGAAGGGGAGCGTCATCTCTTGGCGGCGACATTGACCCATCGAAGGGGTCGCAGCACGTGGACATGCTCAGTTTAAAAAAATAAATACAAAAATTCTTTGTCACAAAATGTATTACACCCGCAAAATCTAGGCTAAAATTTCTGAAGAGCAAAAAACGGTAGAGAGTAAGCAAAGGTATAAAATAGCCAAATCTATTGAGGGAGATAAGAAAAAAGTCTTGGGAACTGGTAAATAGAGATTCAGGTATTGTTTATTAATTGTAATAACCATTATCTAAGTTTTTTGTATTTTTAAAGAGCTACATTTCTTTAAATTTGTATAAATTCATTTAATATTTTATTTATATATACATTATATATTTATATTATAAAGGGAGTCTTGAGGCCAAGTCTACTTGATAAAATCCCAAGTACTTGCAAAAATACACACAGATTTATGGATGAATAATCTAAAATAATTAAAAGATCTACTATAATTTACAATTATATGTATAAATTAAACAAATTTGTATAATTTTTAAACAACAAAATAA